GCTGGAATGGACAAAAAAAAAAAAAAAACAACTCGCTGACAATAAACTTTTATTTAGACAGCACTTTTATTAGAATAATAAACGAATAAAATATAGACAGAACTTTTATTAGCATAACGAACGAATAAAAATAACCCCATGCATAGGCTGAAAAAAGTGAAAATCGGCAAACTGTGGGCCCAAAAAAAATAAAACGTTTATTAACGAATAAGAAAACAAAATAGGCCACCAACACTATAAATTGGCATTTATTAACATTAATATATATTGGCCAAAATATTGCCAAACAGGCGCTTTTGCATTGCGTTTTGACACCAAATCTTCCGCCATTATCTTGCTTTTCTGTAATTTGACTCGTTCTCGTCTCCACACGTGCTAAATGGAATCCTGATGCTTGCTGATCTGTGACGTGACGGCACGCGTTGCGCAGTTCATTTTTAATTATAATGCTCTCTTCAGAACTAAATAATTGAAAATTATTATTTTTAATTAATTCAAATAAATATTTTAGCAAAAACGAATACTTTAAAAAAAAAAGTCAAGACATCGCGGTGTCACGGTGGGAAAGTGATGTCACCGGTGATGGGGCTTAAAACCGGTAACACCGTCAACACCGTCTATCGCGGCAAGCCTAATCCCTTGCCAATTTTAATATTCAAGCGCATGCAGATGCGAGAGTGCCAGCGACACACTGCCCATCGTGAGCATCATCGTAAACAGTCGCTTCAGTGATCAAACATGTGAGGTAAGATGCGTAACATTACACTGCAGCTCTTAAAGGGCCAGCAGGCTAATATTCCTGCTTTATGTTAATCAAACGAGGGAACTGCTCAATGCTCTTGACTGGATAACTTTAATAAGGGTTATTATACATTTATGCAGTGAAGACTATAGTTATATTTTCCAGTTGAACATCTAGTCTAGACCTACATGAAAAACCTGAAATTAACTGTTTGTGTTTATTTGTACTATTGCTCATAAATGGCTCTGTGGAATACTGAATTCTGATTGGTCAATCACGTCATACAGCGCTATATTATTCCCCGATAACCACCGCTGAACACAGAAACCAGCAGCGCTATACACTTGAGCTAATGAAATATTAAAACTCAGTCGAACCATATTGTGTGTAGTTATTTAATTATGCAGTCCAGTATCGTGGACTCGCTCGTTTCAATCAAACGCAGCCGCTGCCATTTTGTGACTATAGTTTTATACGCTCTAAAGGATTATAAGACACAAACAGGTACGATTTCATTTCAGGGTGGCTTAATCTGAAATAACCATAATTATTTATGTGAGAAATGCTGTTTAATAAGTGCTATGACTGTCTCTAAAATGTCCATCGAGTCCGAACTCGCCGCTGAAACTGCTTCGCATTCAAACACCCAATGAAATACATTACAACTAGATCAATACTGATGAAGGAAGGGCATCCAGCTGGCTGTGTGCGTTCAAGTCAACTCGTATAGATCGTAATTACGACTTGAACGCACTTGAACAGAATGTATGTCAGAATAAACGCCTGGATAAAGAACAATCGGCTAGATGTACATCATCCCTTCCTTTATCAGTGCCTGTCTTTAACAACATTTAGCATTTATATGAGGAGTTAGGCTAGTAGTTTTTGGTGTGATAAACTAAGGCCATGTCCACACTAATATGTTTTCATTTGAAAACGTATATTTTTCTCTCCGTTTTGGCCTTCCGTCCACACCGAGACGCCGTTTTAAGTCAACAAAAACGTATCGTTTGGAAAACGCTCTCCAAAGTGGATAAATTTGAAAACGCCGTTTTCGCGTTGACAGTGAAACCGGAGGTATTTCAAAACGATGACGTAAGTTTAGTCATGTGATCCATGTTGTACAAATAGATATTCATGTTTATCGGTATTGTGCCCGTTATGTGTTATTCATTTTTACACTATTGCTAAAATATGTTACTTAACATGTGCTATTCTTCATAGCACAGCACTGCAAAGATGACAGATGATGTAGTCTACTCACATTTGCTGTTCTGCGGCAAAACAGGAGAGCGATTGCGTTTTAGACCAAACATATGGTGACTGAATGCGACCTGGACGCATCCGTGATGGTGAGATATTTTGCTAAATAAAATAATCCTGTTATTGTGCGATGACATTATTATTTATTTTCCCATCTGCATCATCTCAGTGAGCGTTTGTGAAGTTTCACGCATGCGCAGTAAAGTGAATTTAGAAGTTTCTCATCCGCACTGAAACGTCGAAAAACACCTGAAAACGCTAGTGTGGACTGAGAGCGTTTTTAAACGAAAACCCCGTTATCAAATCTATCCGGATTAATGTGGCCGTAGCCTTACGTTACATGGATCCAAAACTACTAAAACAATAATCAGGCCTATTTTGATTTTATGTATTTATTACTTTTTTGTGTGGTGGGGTCGACCGGGCCGGCAGAGAAAACCCTTGGTGTTGAGCCCTGCGAACGATCTTCGAGTGCTAGCAAAAGGAAGTGTCTTACCATCCTCGGTCTGCTCACAATCCCTGGCGATGTGACCCTGCTCTCCACACCGGTAACAGAACAGATCTACTGAGACACACACACACACACACACAGACTTCATGAGTCAGCTCCGGGACAGATGCGGTGTGTTTAAATAAAGCGCTGCAGTCCCATACCCTTTCCTCGGCCCCGACCCCGGCCACGGCCCCGGCCCGCGTTGGGACAGTTCTTGATCCAGTGTCCGGAGCGGCCGCATCCAAAGCACTCGCTGCTACTCATGTCCATTCTCTGCAGAGATTAAAACATCATTACCAACAGTTAAACATCATGCAAGTAGGCCTAAACATAGACACTACTTTTTTTAAATCAAACATTAAACAAGTGTTTCTATGTTTACAACCCCTGTAATCTAAGTTCATTGCTTCTCAAAAAAATAAAATAAAAAGAAAGAAACATTTACAGAGACAAATCACGAGGCACCATATTTTTCCAGGACAGTCGATCTAATCTAACTCAGTGTTTATTTGCAGTGTGAACTTGCTACACCCAACTTTAATAACTTAATGATGTCAATGGCAGTAGTCCACACACACTCATAAGGTGAGAATGGGAAGGCTGAAGGCACATGGCACGTGTCCTAGCCCCACTGCTACTGCTAAAGACAAGTCTAGCAGAGTTAACAGGGCTGACACTGAGAACAATCATCAATACTCATACCCCTATTTAACCAGAGGAGTTATGAAGGCCTAAACATCTGCATACTGGTTTAATACATGTACTAACGTTAATCATTAACTTAAATCACACATCAGTCCGAGGAAACGCACCACAACAGAGTAAGGTATATACTGCTCTCGGCTACACTAGAGTACATTCATACTGGATATAAATGAATAAATGAATGTATGTACGTTTGTAGATGCTGATATATGACACGCGATGGAAGGAAAGGCACATGTTCACTGTCCACAGCCTGACCACCTCAACACTGGGCCACACCATGCAGATTCACCACAAAACTTCCCAAATACACTCAATTCCATCACTAATCTGCAGTGGCGTGAGTATTTATGAGCTGCTGTGTGTTTTATTTCTGGAATTGCGCACGTGCACGTGCACTTCTACGAGTCTTTCCCGCGCAGGCACGCGCTGCTGCAGGCCGCGGCTAGCTCAACGCGCGTGAATAAACACACTCTCTCGCTACACACACTGCGGTCAACATTTTCAAAGCCAGCATTAAAGATGTAAGTTAACCGATCATTGGTTTAATACGAACAAAAGCAGTTGGAATTGAGAGTTTGTCGCTGATAATGTGTGTACTCACCTATAACACAACACTAGCCTGTTAGCTGTGACTCACTGCTGTTTACTCCTCCCTTCAGCACTGCGCATGAATCCGCTGCGCGACAGTTACAGTAGCCAATAAGACATTACGATTTAGCAGGGGGGGCAACCAATGAGGATCGAGTGCCTGGAGACACCCCTCCATTCTGTCCAATCGCTGATCTAAAATGAGCACTTGTCCAGCCCACGCAAACAACTCGCTTGGAAATATTCAGAAATGGAATATTATCGTTGTGGTTGTTTATATATCGTCTGTAGTCTATTATACAAACAGAGTACTACTGGAATATATAACAAGTGTTATTTCCAAACATGTTTTCCATGTCGTTTATGCAGATCCTACAACATATGATGAAGAACTCAAGCTGACAGACAGTGATTTATTAATAATCATTTGAATAAGCAGTTCAGAACAAGAAATCGCACAATAATCTGCAGTCGCGACCTTCTGCTTTCATGTGTCCAAAAACAAACATCAGTGACCACAGATCGACGAAACATCATTGTTGCTCGTATTTCATAGTTCTGTTAATCGATAAAGCACCATATCCGCTGGCGCGTCATCAGTTTTTAAAATCTAGTCGCCAAATAGGATTAAAAAATATTAATAAATAGTAGAACCACTGATCTACATAATGACATGTCATGACAATGTTCATTCTATAGATCAGTGAGTTGAACATTTGAATTGAACCATGAATATGCTACTTTCAATTCAACCATAATAATTAGTTTTAGCAAACTATAAAATTTATCTTTTAAAACTGCATCCATGTACACATTTAATTGAGGTCATGGAAATCATAACATAATTAATTTACGGCAACTCAAATCTGCATGACTCTATTGAACTATTATTCCGATTTTACAGCATATAACGCAACATACTTATTTTTTTTAAAATATATCCATAAATGAATAAACGTAATAATCAACGTAAAAAAATAATAATAAAAAATACACGAGAGTGATTCAAATAGCAGTTATTTCATATTCTTTTTTACTTAACTTACTTACTCTGCTTTACTATATATTATTATTTCATATAATTTATATTTCTCTGTGTGTGTGTGTGTGTGTGTGTGTGTGTGTTTGAGAGAGAGAGAGAGAGAGAGAGAGATAGAGAGAGAGAGAGAGAGAGAGAGAGAGAGAGAGAGAGAGAGAAAGAGAGAGAGAGAGAGAGAGAGAGAGAGAGAGAGAGAGGTTCCACTCGTCTTGTGTCGGTGACGTCATCGCCGTTTCTTCAGGTTATGGCGGAGCTGAACTCTTCAAACTTTCTCTGGTGAGTGTTTATCGCTCCTAAAATGCTTTGTGAGTTTTGCAATGACCGTTTCACATCTCATATCAGCTTTTCGTCTAGTGATTATAAAAATATAACTGGCTTGTGAAATGTTGGTAGAGTTAGCTGTTTGATTTAATAGGTTTGAAGCTAAATAGGGCCGCAGTTGTAAAAAGATCTGCTCAACAACATTAATGCCAGTGTGTGTGTGTAACCAATGCCTGTTAACTGCATGTAATGACTGCCCTGCGAATAAAGATCATCAAATTAGCTTAACGTGTTTTCCACGAAGTTTACACCCCTTTTCCATCTTAGCGACTGGACTTGTGTTTGTTATGAATGTCTTCTGCTCATAAACACAAACTGAACATGGGTCGAGCAACATCACCAGCTTGCTTTATGAAATCTACAAACTCAGATGACAACAAATTCATTTATTGCAGTTAACGTTTTGGCCTGAACTTACATGATTGTGCTATTTTGACAGCTTTTTCGGTTTACTTTAGGTTTTCCTGGAAAATACATTTTATTAATTACAAAATCTGGACTGCTTGTATATTTGTTGGTTGGTTTCATTATTATGACACATGATTTACTCAATTCCGGTAACTGTATTTGAGAAGAGATGTCAGTACAGTTGTGTATAGCCCAACAACAGTTGCCAGGGTAGGTGGGTTGTTCCAGAAACATGTTGTGCTATGATGGTTAATAGTCTCTTCACATCTTAATAGCGATCACTAAGTAAAGTGGTCTAAAAGTATGTGTATCGTCTGTGGAAGGGTAGGACCATACGATGCTCGTCCAATCATTGCATTGGGTCTTGCCCGCCTGTCAGCGCATGATACACACTTCTGCGCAGACATCACACACCATCAGTGCATCTCATGCGGAGTTGTTGACAGATGTCAGTCACAGAGCAGCGCAAACGAAACAGCCTTTTACAGTTCCTCCTGAAGCGAAACAACCAGCTGGCTGCCATCACGCCATAACTACTGACACATTTGGGAGATATGGAAACCTGTTGCGTTATGTACTCGGAGCTGTTCATGACATGAATTTATGACGCCAACACTATCAATGCCGAAGTGAATCTGCAGCAGTCAGGTGATACAGTTCAGGGCTCTAGAAGTTGTTCATTACTGTAATGTTGTGTGCTGTGAGACACAAGGTAGTTTAACACCGTATCGTGTAGAGCCCGACCGATAAAGGATTTTGAAGGCCGATACCGATACAAATAATTTTGGGTTTTAAAATCCGATATATCGGCCGATATTGTTTTTATTAAATATTGTTGGAAATAATGATAGAAATAATGTCTTCTGTACTGTACTAGAAAAATAAATACATAAATAAACCCGCCAATCTCGTTGGTCGGATAGGTTTTTGACGCAGCGCGTCAAACCAAAAAAACGAGCCCGAGGCGTTTTTTTAAAAATGACGCTTTTACGCGTGCCGTTTTTCGCGTCGGTGTGAACACTCACATTGGCGCCCATTATTTAGTCACGAGGCGTTAAACGTCATCCCGGTGTGAACAGGCCTTTATTGCGTTATTATCTATCTAACATCAACTCATTGAGTGACCAATATATTTTTACAACATGAATTCATGTTTGTGAATGTTATTTAATACAAACACTTGATTGTTCATGTTTGTTCAATTCATTCATTGTGCATTAAATAATGTTAACATAAAACTTTTGATCTTAGAAAATGTAAGAAAAATGAAGTTGATGATTGGGTGAGGCCTCTTGCAATTAAGATAAAATTTTCAATAAATTCTAAAAAAAAAAAAAAAAAAATTCTGGGTTGTGCCATTTCATTTCCCCCCATCAATATCTACCTCATAGGTGAAAATAACCAAAACAAAAATGTGAAAAATCCTGTCTAAAATTATAAAATGAAGGTTTCTGTTTGTGACCAGTTCAAGGTACGTGCTGCAATAATCATGCCTTGAATCTGTTGATGGTATTTGACATGATATTTGTAATGTATGTCTCAAAATGTCCGTTTCTATCCACAAAACTTGCCAGAAGTCATGGTTTAGGGGTTACTTAAAAAAATCTTCTGGAGGTTCATGCCCCCGGATCTGTTTTGTACCTCACTCTGTGCTGAAGAGTTCCTCAGTGATTCAATGTATTACAATGTGCTAATATAATAATAATTGAGCAGACGTGTGTGTGTGTGCTGTTTCCCAGACGCGAGTGTGAGAGGGCATCGAGATGGAGCAGCTGCAGGGAGTGTGGAGAAGCGTCACCAACGGTCTGGGCACCAGGGAGTGTGTGTCTACGAGCCCGTGTCCTCAGCGGCCGTCCTCAGACGAGCCCAGAGCCAGCCGGACCATCCGCGTGTTCCTGCCCAACCAGCAGAGGACAGTGGTGAGCGCCTGAGACTCCCACAGCCGCTTCAGGGCTCCTTTCATTGGGAAAACTGCTACACGATTTTTCTCGAAGATCATACTCGCCCCCTTCATTCTACTTTTGAGTGGCCCCCATCTGGGCGGAGCCTCAAAATTCATTTGGCCAGAAGAAACGAGTATAAAAAAACATTTGTCCCAATGGCAGTGATTATCTTAAATCGTACACTTTTCTAAAGTGATGCAATAGATTGGCTGGCATTATAGCGTGTGGGTTTGTGTAATGGTGGGAACAGTGTTTAATCGTATAATTTTGTTAGTTCTGTGTTTGTGTTGTTCAGCATTAATGTGAATGTATCTATGTCACCAGTAGGGTTGGGTATCGAGTATCGATTGGAACCGGGACTAACTTTTCGTTTTTTCCCGGAATCGTTCAAAAGTAAAAATTTCGATTCCTAGTTTCGATATTCACAGTCCGCCGAGCGGAAGAAGAAACCGCTGAACAACACCAACGAAGAAGCGTCTACCGGAAGTGTTGGCATAACCACGCGAGTCGAACATGAGTAGCTTACGTCGGCGGTCCAAAGTGTGGCTTCACTTTTCTAAAAATAACGAAATCTCGGCAAAATGCTAAATTTGTGACAGAAGGAGTATTTCCTTCAGAAAGGCCGTTTGTTAGCAAGGTTAGCTAAACTTTTTTGACCCTGCCTCTTAAAAGAATCGGAATCGAAACAAGGAATCGCAATCAGAATCGTTTAAATTCAAATGATACCCAACCCTAGTCACCAGTGTCAAAGATGAATTTCCGCTCTGTAACAAACAGAAACAGACAATACGGAGCGGAAAAAAGCATTTGAGTCATATTTTTAGTACCATCTGAACACCAGACTTCAGCTGGTACCCAACGTTCAGTAGCGCACATACAGCACTGGCAGAAGAGAATGGTCTAAACTACTGTGTGGTTATTGATATTCTAACTAATGAAGTTGCAGGACATTTTCCTCATCAGTAATCTGCCTCAAAACTTAAATATTATTGTTGCCATGAATTTAGAAGACTATCAAATCCAGTGGCCAGTTCCTCCTTGTCTTACATGAAACAATATAACAGCGATATAACTGGCCTAGGGCTGTGGCGTGTGTGTGTGTGTTGACGTGTGGCGGTGTGTGTGCAGGTGAGTGTGCGGGCCGGCGTGACGCTGCACAGTTGCCTGATCAAGGCGCTGAAGGTGCGAGGGCTCCAGCCGGAGTGCTGCGCGGTCTTCAGTCTGCACCCCGGACACCGCAGGTCAGTCACGCCTCGCTCCAGGATGTGCGAGCACAATCTGTTTGCTTAATCTTACCATATTGATATTTATCACGATATTTATTTACCATTAATGGGGAAGGGAATACTTTCCACATATTTGTTAGACCTTGAGAATGAATATAAACAGAGTAGCTACCTTTTAATTTAGGATTCTCCTGGGTTTTATGATTGAATCATCTTTCCCTTGTGTTTTGTAACAAATCCTTCCCTTGCGGGTCAAAATGGCCCAAAGCCCTAAAATTATCCTCAATTTTTTGTTAGTAAGTTAATTAATTAGTAAGTAAATTATAGTAAATGTATTTATTTTTTCAGAAAACAAATTTTATTTTGATAATATTGTTTCTATTTTTAATGCATATTTTTTTTACATTTTTTAATTTTATTTATTTTTCAAATTACTTTGATCAATAAATAATAAATAAATAGTAATTTCAGCACATTCCTCATATTCTTTCAACATTAAATTCTAAATAACTCACATTGTGTGTCTGGCGACCTCTTGTGGGAAAAAAATATTATAACATGATATGTCCACTCTATCCACTAGATTGCTTTATAGCTCTATATGGTGCAAATGAGCTGTTCCTCTGGGTCCTAATATTTTGTTAAAGTTGAATTTTGAGCATTTCTAAGTTTTTCTGTATGTACCGAAGCATTTTCGCATTGAGTTCATTCATAAGGGCTCAAATTGACCCGCGAGGGAAGGATTTGTTACTTTTTTAAATTTACCAGAACCTCAGACGTAGTTGACGTCAACGGAATGGCGATCATGCCAAGGAGCCAATCTTCTTCGAGTACTATTGAAAGAGCCAATGTTTCAGTTCACTGTTCATTGTTACCGTGGTCATTGCCCTGTGTGCCCCGGCACTGGCTATTTCCTGAAAGAGCAATACGGGTGCGCTTACGTCTTTTTCAAGATGTCATTCCACCCGTGCATTTCTGGATGTGTTCGTTCCCTGTTCCTCTCGGATGGTCACAATTGTTGCATCACGTGTCCCTCTGTAATGGACCGATCAGCTGTTTCAATGGGGGTTCCCCCAGAGGATAAGATGTAGATGGCAGCATCGGAGGGTGTGCTGGCCTCTGAAGATCTTCTTCTGCTTCATCCGGGGCCAGCAGTCTAGCAAGAGATGCCCTGACTTCCCTCTCCCTAGACACTTCCTCTAGCTCTTCTGGGGGACACCGAGGCGTTCCCAGGCCAGCCGGGAGACATAGTCTTTCCAGCGTGTCCTAGGCCTTCCCCGGTGCCTCCACCCAGTGGGACGTGCCCGGAACACCTCCCCGGGGAGGTGTCCAGGAGGCACCTGGAACAGATGCCCGAGCCACCTCAGCTGACCCCTCTTGATGTGGAGGAGCAGCGGCTCTACTCTGGGCTCCTCCCGAGTGACAGAGCTTCTCACCCTATCTCTAAGGGATCGCCCAGCCACCCTGCGGACAAAGCTCATTTCGGCCCGCTGTATCCGGGATCTTGTCCTTTTGGTCATGACCCAAGTTCATGACCATAGGTGAGAGTAGGAACGTAGATTGACCGGTAAATCGAGAGCTTTGCCTTACTGCTCAGCTCCTTCTTTACCACAACAGACCGGTACATCGACCGCATTGCTGCTGAAGCTGCACCGATCCGTCTGTCAATCTCCTGTTCCATCCTTCCCTCACTCGTGAACAAAACCCCAAGATACTTCAACTCCTCCACTTGAGGAAAGATCTCTCCACCAACCTGAAGTGGGCAAGCCACTCTTTTCCGACTGAGGACCATGGCCTCAGATTTGGAGGTCCTGATTCTCATCCCAGCCGCTTCACACTCGGCTACAAACCTTCCCAGATGACGACTCGGCTGTGTTATCTCCCTCTGGGAGTGTTACATTGCCCGAGCCAGATCCAGAAATGTCAGCTGGGCTTGAATGGAACCTCCACCGTGTCCCGTTCAGTCTCGGTTGAAGGATTGGTATCTCGGGGCGGGCTGCGCTGGTTCTCATCTCGCCGTCCCAGTGTTTCCTTTCCCAAAGTGCATAGAGAGTTTACCAGGTTGTGGACGGCACCTTTCTCTGCCAGAAACTGCCTGAATATCTTTTCCCCCTCACTAGCCTTGATGGAGGAGCGGTGAAGGGTTGCAAGGTTATCTTTCCAGTGGAGTGGTCTGTCGTGACACTGGTGCACCTGTGTCCGGTGGTCACTGCCTTTTAAGGGATCCTCGTCTCCCCACTAAGGCCTGTGAGATCTTGTCCGTTCCGACAGCCAGGGCTTACAAATCCTGTGGGCAAGCCGCCTCCTCTTGCGTGACATGACGCTGCTACAGGTCTGTCAGGCCAGGGCACCCATGGACATGCACGAGGGTAGCCCAGACTGTGCGCTCATAAGTGAGCACCGCAGTGCTTCCGATCTCACCACAACAGTGTTGTGGCGTGTGCGATCGATCTGACGATGTCCACCTTTGTTGTCCAGGAGCGCCATCATTGGCTCAGCCTGATTGTTATGGTGGATGTGGACAAGGTTCGCTTCCTGGTCTCCCCAATTTCCCAGGTTAGGCTGGTCGCCGACATGGTGGAAAACTGCGTCCAACAGTTCTCTGCCGCCCAAGCACAGAAGGAGGCCATCCGACACATCCTGCCCCGGCGGCTCGCTGCTGCCTCCACCCCGCCACCGGTGGCAGTTCCTCCGCCTGCTCTTCGCCGAGGCCGTTCTCCTGCCGCTGCACCCACTGGGCCTCAGCATGGAGCCAGCCGCAGTAAGGATGCCCAGCCCGCTCTAGGCACGTCTCTTTAAGAAGGGTGTGTTCGGCTGGTGCTTGAAGTGAGAAAGGGTCTCACTGAAAGATTTTCGGAGGCTTCCGGGGCATATGCCACTGCCACTTTGGCTTCCTCCATGTGAAGACCGCTTCAGCACTAGCTTTTTGATCGAGTCCCGAGGTGACCGTGGGAGAGCGGCAAGCCCTGTGTGGCGAGATCACCCCAGCCTGTTGCCAAACCCTCAGCCCATGTTCAGTCCCTTCGTTTATCCGGGCCAAAACGCTCCTAGAACGAGGTCTACTAACACCGACTGAGGAGCTAGGTACAAAGGCCATGCTTTAACGGAGGCCTGAGCGACCTCCGACTACATTGCTATTTGTTACCTCAAGTTAGCAGTTCACCTTGTTTTGAGCCACCGCTGCTCAGCCAGCTGGTACTGGTCTGAAAAGCTTCCCTTGAATGTCACAACTCGCCCGTCACCTCCTCCTTGTCAAAGCTTCTGAGGTCAATTGATTCCACTATAAATTTCTTCCAGCCTGCTCAATTGTGCCGCCAACGTGCCTCATCCCCTGGCGGTCCAGCTGCTCCTGAAGCTCAGTGAATTTCATCACTCTCAGGTGTTGAGCAGAAATGCTCCTGAGCTTAGTGATCTTCACATCATAGTGTGAAGCAGTGCTCCTGTCTTGTGCGCGCATGTCACTTGAACCTAGTGTGCTCAGAAGTCAGAAGTGGAACAAATCTTGATAGTTTTCCCTCATTGGCCCAACCAGACCTAGTTCCCTCGACAGCCTCCTGCTCACATGGTCTCTACTAAAGGGTAGGGACTTGCTGGCTAACTCTCACAAGCTGAGACCCCAACCTGGATATGTTCCCAAGTTTCCTACCTCTCCCTCAAACTGGGACTAGGTGGTGAGCCCAGGCTTTCTCTGTCCAACCGCTTCATTGAAGAGGACCTCAGACCAGCTCTTATTTGTTAAGGAAATCAGCAAAGAGGGAAGGCTGTTTTCAAGTGAGTTTGGCCCAATGAAAATGTAGTTGCCTTCATCTTGGTGAAATTCCTGAGACGCACATGTCCGCTTAGGTGGTGAGCTCCTCTTAAATGAGTGTGTGCTCCCGCCTAGCCATTGACACAGAGTGCTTCGCTGACAGATATTCTAGAGTTGGTGGCTGAGCGACACCTTAGTTGAACCGCTGCTTCCTGTGGGTTCCCTTCACATGAAGCCAGTTTCGCTTGTAAGCCTGGTTTGTTGTGTCGGCTTGATGCGGCATTCCCCTCCTATGGACTGGATACGTGCTCAATTTTTTGCTCCAGTTGAGTTCCCCTTTTTTAGTTCCTCCAACGGACGTGGCGGAACATCCAAAGTCAGGCCTATCACTCGTATGAACTGGTGGAACCTGTGTTAAGCTGGATTCATATGCTGTGATCCCTACGGCGATTCCATATGTGTATTCTTCCACGGTACGGCTCCTTGCAGTGAGTAGGCCTGCCTGTTTTGCCGTCACTCTCTGGTTGAGTCTCCTCCCCTGTCATAGGCTGGAGCCACCCCAGTGACATTCCATATGTTGTACTGTCGGTCATCCACTCAGTTCATATGTGTATTCTCCACATGTTAACTCCCCTCGGGCAGGATGTGGCTTCCGCAGCATCCCTTCCTTCCTTGTAAAGGGAACTGTTGTGGTCCTGTAGAAACAGCCGTGACTTCCTTGGCCTAAGCCCTGTCCCTTTCCGCCTTAAATTGGGGGATCCGGAGGCTTTTGTCTAGGCACTGGAAAGTGTCAGCTTTAGTGGCGTGTTCAATGGTTATCCTCATTCAGTCGACGTCGACTACGTTTGAGGTTCTTGACTGAAAGGGAACCTCCTGGTTGCGTATGCAACCCACCATTCCCTGAAGGAGGGACCGGAGGACATAGTCCCCTTGCCACTAACGCTGGACCACCGCTGACTCCGAGTTACGCTCGGCTCCTCAGCGAAAAAGTAACTAGTGCGTGCATCCACTTCCGTATTTATACCTGTGCCGTGGGGGCGGAATTTGTGATGTCATCACGCACGCCAATTTCTATTGGCTTGTTCAATAGTACTCGAAGATGATTGGCTCCCTGGCGTGATCCCCATTCAGTCGACATCGACTACATCCTCCGTTCCCTCCATTCAGGGAACGGTGGGTTGCATACGCAACCAGGACGTTTCGCAATGATACGCTAAGGCACTTGTAAAATAATGCATTTTACAGCTAAATACTGGACTGCAGTTAGTGCTAATTTCACATTTTGTTATAGGATCTGTTGTTGTCGAGTAACGTTCATTCATAACGCGTCCACATTGGTGTTGTCCCTCATAATTGGTTAACGTATGTGTGTGTTGGCAGCAAGAAGTCTCGTATGGACTGGAGCACAGACTCTACCTCGCTCATCGGGGAGGAGCTTCTGGTGGAGGTTTTAGACCATGTCCCCTTAACCACACACAACTTTGTGAGTGCTACTACTCAGGCCTGTTTGTGCACACCTGAAGAATCCTGTTCATACTTCAATTAAAAAAATATTATTTCATTTTCAGGTTCGAAAAACATTTCTGAAATTGGCTTTCTGCGACATATGCCAGAAGTTCCTGTTAAACGGTTTCCGGTGCCAAACGTGTGGCTACAAGTTCCACGAGCACTGCAGCACAAGAGTGCCCACAATGTGTGTAGACTGGACCAACATCAGACAACTGCTGTGAGTCGCGCTCTCTGTCTTCATCAATACCCAACGACTGAAAATTAGGGGTCACAGCTGATTAAAAAGTATCTAATTGTTTACATGATATGCTGATTGGATCAATTGAACGGTGAACATGCCATCATCGTAAAGGAGGAGTAAAAAGCAAGAGGTGCCCTGATTGTTTGTGTCCGTATCCTCGTCACTGGCCTACTGTCCACATCAATCTGTTTTTACATGAGCTGTATGTGAGGTCGTCTTACTGGCTGCTTTCACATTGACGTCCCCATTCAGTCCCAGGGATTTCTCAATTGATTTGCACATATGAGTCTATTTCTCACTAAATGCCGCTTGACTGCTATGCGTTTGGCAGATTGTTTCCCAGTCCGGGTGAAAGTGGGACTCCGTCTCTACCGACTCTCACATCTCGCAGAATGAGGGAATCCCTGACTCGAAACAGGTAACTCATCATTTCAGATTACATGATGGAAACCACTGTTTTTCTGAAAGTGTACACACACCGTTCAGCGACTGCTCGTGGTTTGATGGCTTGAGGAACGCCTAGGTTACATATAGTTGAGTCACCTTTATTTCTATAGCACTTTATACAGGGGTTGGACAATGAAACTGAAACACTGGCCAATGTTGGAGGTTTCACATCTATATGCCTGGCGGCCAATCTTCAGAGTGAAGCACGGGTGGATCAGTGATGGTTTGAGCTCCAATATAATGACAATCCTGATTGTATTTGATGGACACGACACTGCCGAGGACTACCAAACCCTTCTGGAGGATCATGAGCACCTGATGCTCAAACCGTGTATCAGCATGATCATGCACCAACACACACAGCAAGACTTGTGACAGAAGGGTTTGATGAAGATGAAAGTGACGTTGAACATGCACAGTCACCAGATCTGAATATTATTGAGGTGTTTTGGAGGAGCGAGTCCACCAGCATCATATAGTGACCTGGACACTGTTCTGGAAGAGGAACGGCTCATAATCCCTCTTGTCACTGTGAAGGACTTCTATCTGTCATTCCCAAGATGAATTGGTGCTGTATTTGGATGCAAAATGAGGCCCTCACCATACTAACAAATTATTGTGTTGTAAAACCAAGTGTTTCAGTTTCATTGTCCAACCCCTGTACATCACAGACTGTTTCAAAGCAGCTTTACAGAGATAACAAGGAGATACAGATTCAGTGATGCAAACAGAGTTCAGCTGTACAGCAGCTCTAAAGCATAATACTGAACAGTCGTTATTCAGATGAAGTCACTTCAATGTTGATTCGGTTCAGTTCAATAAGTTCATCAAACTGGAATGAGTTTATTTCCGCTATACAGAAAACAGCTCAGCTCAGTTCTTATATAATGGTGTCAGTGCCGTCAGATCAGTAATACTGTTGAACATGAAGTGTCCTCAACTAAGCAAACCAGAGCGACAGTGGCAAGAGCACACACTCCATCGGGAGACAGAATAGAGAAAACCCTTGGGAGAACCCAGACTCAGTCGGGGAACACTTCATATATTTCATCCAGTTCTTTTTGCTCAGACAAACTGTATAATAAACATTACCCTTTCTAATCCTTCACATACTTCAGTAATAATTTGTGTTGAGCGGTGCTATTACTTCCCTTGGCAATCAATTCACCTTTTGCCTGGTGGATAGTACAATAAAAAGAAAAATTAAGATATACATGGATTAAATAAGAGATGTTGGCTTGGCCCGTTCAGCAAACACTCAGAACACATGGACCAGTGGTGTTGCTGGGGTAGACGCCACTAAAGGTTTCTTCAGGGAAATCTAAGAATCTAGTTTTGGTTTTTATGCAAGCTATTTAAAAGGTTAGTTCACCCAAAAATGAAAATTGTCCCTCATGTTGTTCCAACCCCGCAAGACCTTCGTTCATCTTCGCAACACAAATTAAGATATTTAAGATATTAAGATCGCTCCTGCATACAGTCCATAGGCTTCTTGAGGGACTGGCTCTTGCTGTCCTCGAAAAGTCATTAAAGACATCGTTAAAATAGTCCAAGTGACTACAGGGGCTCAATCTTAACTTTATCAAACGACGAGAACACTTTTTGTGCGCAAAAAACAAACAAAAATAACGACTTTATTTCAACTATTCACTTCCTTCTCCATGAGCCTGTAGTCAGTTAACGTAGTGTGATTGCGTAACGCTACGTCACACGTAGGCTCACTATTGGCCGACGCTGGTCATGTGTGTGTGATGCGTGTGACGTACAATAACAGAAGCTTACGCTATTAAACTAGTAACCTGACTCGCGCAGAGGGGGAAATAAACAAATAGTTGAAATAAAGTCGTTATTTTTGTTGTTTTTTTGCGCACAAAAGTGTTCTCGTCGTTTGATAAAGTTAAGATTGAGCCACTGTAGTCACTTGGACTATTTTAACGATGTCTTTAATGACTTTTCGAGTCAAGAAGCCTATGGACTAGTATGCAGGAGCGATCTTAATATCTTAAATATCTTAATTTGTGTTGCGAAGATGAACGAAGGTCTTACGGGGTTGAACAACATGAGGGTGAGTGAATACTGACAGAATTTTCATTTTTGGCTGAACTAACCCTTTAAATTTCATTTGTGGATTATTGGACACACCTGCAGTGTGTTGTTGGTAAGGCCATCTAGGAGGATTTTGGTTTATGAAATTTGAGTAATAAATTGAAATGAAAGTTGCTGTTTGTCTCCAAGTTCCCCCATCCCGTAGTGTCTGTGACGTTCATGTTTCTCGATACTGCCCTGTCCGTGTGTGTATGCAGTAGTGTTTCCATTAGCTCATAGCCTCATGTGTTCAGTTACTCCAGCCCTTCAGCTCTGACGCCCAGACTGCGCTCCACCTCCACACCCAACGTCAACATGCTCAGCACAACCCTGCCCATACACACCAGCCAGATCCAGGTGAGCACGCGCCACACACACTCCTGTCTCGCTCCAGCGCTACTTCCCTCTGTTTGTGTGACCGCTGTCAAACTCTCAAGATTTGCTGTTCTCCTCCTTCTTCTCTGTCTTGTTGTTGTACCGTTGTGAGTAGCCAGACACGTCTGCGAGCTCCTGGGGCCATCAGCAGTGTTGTCTGAAGAGAAGAGTAGGTGTTTTCTTCTGCTCGGTGTCTGAAGTAGTGCTCGACTGACAGAAGCTTGCTCACACTGCCTGAGGTGAAGGGCTTTCTCTCTTGGTTCGGTTCGTACGAACACGACAATCCGGGTCCGCACTGAAACCATCGCTCTGAGATTGTCTGAAACCAACTCGAAACAGTTCCTACAAGCTGCTTGACATGCTTGAATTTGACTTTTTGAAATTGAAGTCCTGGAAAATCCTTGAAAACGACCATATTTATGAACAGGTACTTGAAAAACGACTGAATTATCGAAAGACAATATATGCGTTTCATTTTATCGATAAAACGATCTTTTCACATAGAATGAACTCTGCAGCCATTGAGTCATTTCCCATGGCTATGAGTGTGATATTGCTCATAAATATCCACGTATATGATACAGCTTTTATTCTTCAGCTCAATCGTATATTCATGGGAGAAAAATCAGTCTGAAAGCGATATCTTTGTCATAGTATGCTATTGCTTTCAGTGGTGAAGGTTGCCACAGTCATCGCATCGGATGCACTTTATTTGTAGCATTTAGTTTTATTGGTTTATCTTTGTGTATCTATTTACCTATTTAAAGGAGTAGTTCACTTTAAAAAAAAAAACTTTTGCTGATAATTTCCTCACCCCCATGTCATCCAAGATGTCCATGTCTTTCTTTCCTCAGTCGAAAAGAAATTCCAGGATTTTCTCCATATAATGGACTTCAATTGGAACCATCAAAATGTTCGTTTATCAAAATAATTGGCTCATTCAACGAACGAACGAGTTGACTCAGGAAAAGATTCGTTCATTGTGATGAACGAGTTCGAACAGGAGAGTCACGCGCATCACAGAACAGAGCAAGGCGAGCATTTGAGCTTATAAAACTTAAACTTTGTTATTTATTTATTAAATAATCGATCGTTTCGCTTGATAAGACCCTTATTCATCATCTGGTGTGGTTTAAAGCCCTTTGAACAGTTTGCACTGAAACTGTCTTTTGGACCTTGAACCGTTTGGTTCCCATTGAAGTCCATTATATGGAGAAAATCCTGGAATGTTTTCATCAAAAACCTTAATTTCTTTTCGACTGAGGAAAGAAAGACATGGACATCTTGGATGACATGGGGGCGAGTAAATTATCAGCAAAAGTTTTTTTGAAAAGTATTCCTTTAAGTTGAAAGATAATAAAGATATAGTTTGATAAGTGAGATCTCTAACTGAAGTCCTGTAGAAAACCAAAAAGTCCTGGAATTTAATTTTACAGGACTGTACGAGCCCTATAACGTCCCAACGAACTAGTCGTTATCATAATTCATAACGGGAAATGTGCTATAAAGAGCAGCAGTGTCTGATTCTGTGATTCTGCACATTAGTTATCACAGTTGAAAACCAAAGAGAGCCTCTTCATCTTTAATTATTGTGTATGCTAAGTGATCTCTATGCCTTGCCAGAACGTTATCCCGACGAAGCCTTGATTCCCGCTCTCAGGCCCCGTCCACACTACTGCGTTTTCGTTTAAAAACGGAGAATTAAAACGATTATGATCTCCGTCCACACCAGCGCTTTATCTGCGTATTAGAAATGATCTCCGTCCACATTAAAACGGCTGGAAACGTGGATCACGTGACCATTCACCAACACTGGGCATGCACGTGCCGGTGTAAACAGTGATTGACGAATCAGGGAAGGATACGTCATGACTGATAACACCCAATCATAGAGCCGAGCGCCAGCGTTTCTGAACTCCTCCGTTTTGTCTCGTCCACACTAAAACGCCCTCCGGAGATTCAAAACAGAGCTGCAGCGTTTCTAAACTTCTCCATTTTAGCTCATTTTAGTTTTTCCCGTTTTGTCTGCACGGGAGGTGCAAACGTAGCAAAAGGTCTCCGTTTTTAAACGAAAACGCAGTAGTGTGGACGGGGCCTCAGTATACACATGCACATGCAGTTGTGTAAGTGATTGTTGTGTCTCGACAGATACAGATAAGCTTGCGGATCAAACTCGTCAGTCCACCTTGATGGTTTAAGGAAAGGAAACTGACCAATAAGAGGACAGCTTAACTGACTTGTTTAGCATGTGACTTGATGTGGCTTGAAATAAACACATGTTGGCATGCTTTGAAGGGTTGTCTTGTGAAAGCGAACCGAACCAAGCAGACGATGCACCCTGATTGGGCCGCGGTGTGTGTGAGTGAGCTGGGTCCGTCTGTGAGCGGCTGTGCTGTGCTGAAGCCTGCTCCAGGATACACACACACACACACAACACACTCGTGCTTCGCTGAAGCCTGCTATTGCGTTGGAAGGATTGTAACATTTCTAATTAACATTTATGTAAAAGTTTTATACAATTTAACAAATTAAAGGGTTAGTTGACCCAAAAATGAAAATAGTTTAATAATTTACTCACCCTCGTGTTGTTCCAAACCTCTATGTGTTTATAAAGGAAGATATTTGGAAGAATGTTTTAATCAGACAGATCTCAATCCCCACACTATGTATTTTTTCCTACTATGGTAGTCAATGGGGATTGAGATCTGTTTGATTAAAACATTCTTCCAAATATCTTCCGAACAACACGAGGGTAAGTAAATACTGACAGAATTTTCATTTTTGGGTCAACTAACCCTTTAATTTGTTAAATTGTATAAATTTTACATAAAAAGGATTATAACATTTCTAATTAACATTTATGTAAAAGTTTTATACAATTTAACAAATTAAAGGGTTAGTTGACCCAAAAATGAAAATTCTGTCAGTATTTACTCACCCTCAGGTTATTTTTTCTGCTGAACACAAAGGAAGATATTTGGAAGAATGTTTTAATCAAACAGATCTCATTCCCCATTGACTATAATGGTATAACTATGGTAGTCAATGGGGAATGAGATCTGTTTGATTGAAAACATTCTTCCAAATATCTTCCTTTGTGTTCAGCAGAAAAAATAACCTGAGGGTGAGTAAATACTGACAGAATTTTCATTTTTGAGTCAACTAACCCTTTAAACTAGAGAACCTGTGCAACTGATTTGAAATGCAGCAGACCCACAGTCTCCGGGTCAGCGCCGGAGATGAACAGCAGGGGTCAGACGTGGTGTCTGTCTTAGCACGCTCGAAAACGTTCTTCTTGTGCTTCTGCTCTGTGCATTGAAATATGACTTTCATGTAGTTTGTTGTCTAAAGAACTTTAAGAAGGGAGATTGAGGATCATATGTGTTGAGCAACGCTACAGGAGATTGTGTAAACTTCTGTCTCGCAGACTGAAAAGATCGAGCGTTTGTGTGTTTATTCTTGATATTGTTGTCTTCTGCTTCCTCTAGGATGCCATGCGCGTTCATCACAGCTCAGGTGAGAATGAGACTGATGTGAATGTGTGTGCTGTGGGTTAGGCGTGAGTATGGCTGATGTATATGTGTGTGTTCAGCTGGCGGTTCTCCGGCTCAGAGCCCCACGGCCCGGACCCAGCCCGCCGTCCCCAGCACTGAACGCACGCCGGAGAAGCTCACCATCGTAAGCCAGCTCTTCTTCTGCTTGCTCTGTACACAACAGTGCTGAAGCTCGTCTTCGGCAGGATTATTTATACGTGTGTCGTGCTGTAAACGTCTCAGCGGACGCTGCGAAGCACTCAGGTTTCCACCTAACCCATGGCACGCAGGTGTTAGCAGTGACAGGAGCCCATCCACACAAGGGTCCTTAAAAACTCTTAAAACGTCTTAAATACAATTTTGAAGAAAACTGAAGATGTCTTAAAATATGAAATTTCTAGGGCTGTAGTCAACCAAAGAAATCCAAAAGTCTTGTCCTGCGCAACGATTAGTCGACAAAAAAAAACTAAAAACGTTTTGATTAAACATTTTTTAAACAATTGTCATTGAGCATTTATAAAACAACAACGAAAAACATCACAAATAAATAAAACTATAATAATAATACAATTCTTTGAAAATTAAGTGATTTTTTTAACTGCAAAAAGTGAAGAGCTCTGTCACAATCGCGCACCTGACCACACGCTGCAAAAAATACAACTGCTATCTGCCACATCATGAAAAATCCCAACAAAAGCTCTCGTTTATACAGGCTTTATATTACTTTCAAAGCTATGGGTTAACTTTCGTCCTGACGATCAAGGCCTTTTAAATAGGGCTGTGCAAAAATTAATTGCGATTAATCGCATCCAAAATAAAAGTCTGTGTTTACATAATATATTTGTGTGTGCTGTGTATAATTATTTTGTATATATAAATACCTATGCATGCATGTATATATTTAAGAATTATTTGCGCTTAAATTCTGTATATAGTTATAAATACATAATCTATATTATATAAATATAAATATTTTATATAGGAATAACACATTTTCTTAAATATATACATGCATGTGTGTGTATTTATATATACAAAATAATTATATACAGCACACACAAATATTTTATGTAAACACAGACTTTTATTTTGGATGCGATTAATCGCAATTAATTTTTGCACAGCCCTACTTTTAAAACAACACACAAAAAACCCAAACAGCCTAAAAACAATCCTAATAATAGGCTGTAGGACCGCGTATAGGTTTGTTTTCGTTTTGTTGCATTATTTAGGCTATTTTCAAATGCGTCAAGTGTACAAATAAAAACGAAAACATTAAGAAAACACAATCTATTGAGTCAGCATGATATAGCCGTTAAAAGGCTGCTCACGTCTTTTGCGCGCTCAAGTTCGATTTCAAATGTAGACGCGCGACTTGTGGAGCAACGAACAAGTAACATAGTAAGGCGGACAAAAAAAACAAAGAGAAGAGAGATAGGCTAGTATGCAAGCAATATAACGTACTTACTAGTCCAAAAGCATGATAGCCAAGTACGCATCGGTTCGCCCTCCTCCTCCTCCTTCAGCTCACGCCTGCGAGAAAACGCTGGCCCAATGTTGATCCTTGATCACTTTCTCTTTTTCTCGTTTTGCTTTGCTCTGATAAAACCTTTGCTTTCTTGTTTTTCTGTGCTGCTTCGTCCATGACTATAACATTTGGCTCGCACGTCCGATTTTAAGGAAGTGGCGGTGGTGGTGGAAGTGACGTATATGCCGTCAAGCAGTCGAATTTTGTTTGCCGGTTACTACCCGAAACCCGACGTTTAAAAGTACGATTAAAAACATTTCAGACCCCGTCAGGCTAAGGCAGATGTGTCACTCAACCTATTGTAAGTTGAAGAGACTTGGAAATATATTATGAAGGTTGAAAAGTTCCCTGTTGTTACTTTAAGTGCTAACAGCAGTTATTGTTTTTTTAGCGGCCGCGGGATAAGAGAGACTCCAGCTATTACTGGGAGATCGAGGCTAGCGAGGTGATGCTGCTGAGTCGCATCGGCTCCGGCTCCTTCGGGACCGTGTATAAAGGGAAATGGCACGGTAAGCATCGGTTTAACCCCGCCAGCTTCGGTCTCTAATGCCGTGGTTAACTCGTGCTGTGACTCGCTGTAGGAGACGTGGCCGTGAAGATACTGAAGGTCACCAACCCCACCCCGGAGCAGTTCCAGGCCTTCCGCAACGAGGTGGCCGTTCTCAGGTAGGATGCGGACGATGGTCACGAGGGAGGGCTTTAGAGCAGTGGCCGTGGTGCCGCATTACACCCAGAAATGAATATTCTTGCCCCATGTACTCATTTTGTACTCACTTTAAACATGACTTCTATGTCCATAAATGAATCTCAATGTACTATTGAAATCATCATTATTGTACATATCTGCATATATTACTGCAGTAAAAGTTAACAAGCTAATGGTGGCACATATGCTCTCAGGAGTGCATTTGCTCAATTCTTGTCAGTAATTACTCGCCCTCATGTTGTTCCTAACCCCGTAAGATTTCGTTCATCTTCAGGACACAAATTAATATTATTTGTGATTAAATCTGAGAGCTGTCTCACTCCTCCATAGGCTTCTTCTAAGGGATCGAACCCGGCCGGCCCAGAAAAGTTAAAGACATCGTTAAAATAGTCCAGCGAATCAACCTTTAGATTATCAAGCGACGAGATACTTTTTGTGCGCAAAAAACAAACAAAAATAACTTCTCTGTGGGTCTCGAGTGAGTTTGCGCAGTGTATTCTCCCTATTGGCCAACGCTGGTCATGTGATGCGTGTGATGTACAACCTAGAAGCGTTGCACTGATTTAAGATTTTGGCCACACTGCTCGGCACTATTGCTCGTTAGCGTTTGATGCATCTGAATTGTTGTGTCCTCGTGCCAACAGGAAAACCCGACACGTCAACATCCTACTGTTCATGGGCTACATGACGAAAGACAACCTTGCGATAGTAACGCAGTGGTGTGAAGGCAGCAGTCTCTATAAACACCTCCACGTGCAAGAGACCAACTTCCAGATGTTCCAGCTGATGGATATCGCGAGACAGACCGCTCAGGGCATGGAGTGAGTGTCCCGTCCCGGATTGAGGGATTCCTCCTGTGGGAGTTTCTCAACTGTTATTGACCATGTTTGCTTTCTCTCACAGCTATCTACACGCTAAAAACATCATCCACCGTGACATGAAGTCAAACAGTATCCTTTATATGTGACATCGTTTCCTAAAGGCAGATTTAGCTACAGCACTCAGTCTCTGTCTATTGCACGAAAATACCCAAATCACAAGCTCTGATTGGCCGGCTTTACACATGTTTGGCTTGTAGTGCTTATAAAGGAAGTCCCAGGTGTTGTCAATGTTTGCAATCCTCATGACATTGAATGACAGCAAAGCTTTGAATTTTTCAGTAGACTTGCATCAATGTACGGTACCGATACGTGACCTTTATAGTGCGTCAAGCGTTTACACACGACAGACTCTGTTAAATGCCAAATGTTTTAATGACGATTCAGAACTTCTACTAACCAAAACTAACATATCCGAATAAACCTGATTATCATTCACTGCTAACATTTTAATTATCTAGGTATATGCAGTTTGATTGTTAAAAATGTAGTACCAACATCATTTTACTATTTCCATATGCATTATTAAACCGGCGAATTTATAAATGTCGAATTGTTTTTTGATGTTTTTTATGATCCTAACTTGCTTGCAAATAAACTTTCATTTGTAACAGTTTGATCTTTTACGAAGGGTTGTCTACATCCAGGGCCGGAAGAGCGTCGGACAGACTTGCTTGATTTATATAGTCTTATTAAAGGAGTAGTTCACTTTAAAAAAAAAAAAAAATTGCTGATAATTTACTCACCCCCATGTCATCCAAGATGTCCATGTCTTTCTTTCTTCAGTCGAAAAGAAATTAAGGTTTTTGATGAAAACATTCCAGGATTTTCTCCATATAATGGACTTCAATGGGGACCAAACGGTTCAAGGTCCAAATGAGAGTTTCAGTGCAAACTGTTCAAATGTCTTTAAACGACACCAGACGATGAATAAGGGTCTTATCATGCGAAACGATCGCTTATTTCAAAACTTATTCCAAAAATGTAACTTTTCTAAGGACAAATGCTAGCCTTGCTCTATTCTGTGAGGCGCGTTTGCAACGTCACGTAATACGTAATTACGTTCAAAAGGTCACGGGTGACGTAGCCGGAAGTACAGAGTCAGTGTTTACAAGTTGAACGCATAAGTTGAACGTGCAAACTAACTCACAAAAAAAGGATTTAAAAGGTAAAACAACGATGTCAGACGATTTTGATTCTGTACTTCCGGCTACGTCCCCCGTGACCTTTTGAACGTAATTACGTATTACGTGACGTTGCAAACGCGCCTCACAGAATAGAGCAAGGCTAGCATTTGTCCTTAGAAAAGTTACATTTTTGGAATAAGTTTTGAAATAAGCGATCGTTTCGCATGATAAGACCCTTATTCATCGTCTGGTGTCGTTTAAAGACATTTGAACAGTTTGCACTGAAACTCTCATTTGGACCCCATTGAAGTCCATTATATGGAGAAAATCCTGGAATGTTTTCATCAAAAACCTTAATTTCTTTTCGACTGAAGAAAGAAAGACATGGACATCTTGGATGACATGGGGGTGAGTAAATTATCAGCAAAAGTTTTTTCAAAAGTGAACTACTCCTTTAAAGGGCGTGTAGAGAAAAGCATGACATCATCCAGTACTTCCTGTGAGCATGAATCTGAATGCGTGTGTAATGGCAATTCTGTGCAGCAAAATCTGCTCCAAGTGGACGCAGCGAGGTCCTTCAGCTCTGTATGTCTAAAAAGATTCATAAATGTGTGTTTATGCCTGAAGAAACATGGCCGCCGTTTCCTCCTGTCAGAGCGAGCTGTTCCTGCCAGCAGATGCTCGGCTTGACTTTAACTCCAGCACAGACATCTTCTTACACGAAGGGCTGGCGGTGAAGATCGGGGACTTTGGGCTGGCCACGGTGAAGGCCCGGTGGACCGGTTCTCAGCAGGTGGAACAGCCGTCGGGGTCCATTCTGTGGATGGTCAGTGCTGTGCTCATTTTCTCCGATCTTTCCTGAGCCTTTACCCACCTGACCTGTGCTGTTCTCCGTCAGGCCCCCGAGGTCATCCGAATGCAGGACAACAACCCGTACAGCTTCCAGTCGGATGTGTATTCCTACGGCATGGTGCTGTTCGAGTTGATGACCGGAGAGCTGCCCTACTCGCAGATAGCCAACCGAGACCAGGTAACACACACTTGGTCAAGGCGCATGTTTTTAATGTTTTTCAGGAGTTCACTTGAAAGGGCAGTCATGAAACGACTTGAAATATAAATTAATATTTTTGCATTAATATGCAACAACACTCCAGTTTCAGTAACCATGAAGCTATTCTGCAGCTTATGACTGAACATGCACACAGGAACACTCTCAGATGTGTGTGTACGTGTGTTTTCTTAAGTTAAGCACAGTGCTTGTTCCCATTACAGTTATTAAAATAATACTGTCAAGACTTCTTTTTCTGTTTAATAAGTAGAAATGTTCACTGCCACGGCCATTTTATGTGTTAATAAATAATGTGTGTGCTTAATTGTCATAAAAATCATGCCACAGTGAAAAGCGTCAACAATGATTTCAAATTTAGACTCTAATTATAAATATTTTTAAAGGTTTTTTGACTCTGACCATTTTTGTGAGATTTATCAGTATTGTGTTAATATTAGGAGAAACTTCTGTCTATTACAGACCATTAAAGGGTCCTATTATGCTTTTTCACTGAGTGAACTTTAGCTAGTGTTAGGGATGCACGATATATCGGCCAGCATAACGATATCGGCCGATATATGTTCATTTTTAATGGTATCGATATCGGCCTGGTAAGAAAATGTGGCCGATGTATTAAAGCCGATAAATAATGTATTACTCCCTTCAGCTGAGACACTTGTTGAGCACTGTTTATGTTTTTGAATTTCTTGAAATAGGATTGAAATCTCTTCAAAAAATGACAATGCGGTTCGGTACAACATGTGCAGCACATATCTGTCATATCGGCTATACAACACTATAATGAGAACATCATTATAATCGTGCGCTTGGGACATGGATTTAATTGTGAGACTTTTGTTTTTGTAATCAGGCTCTAAAATTAGATACATATTTGGATTTGAGTTTATCGGCCGATATATCGGTTATCAGCTTTCAAATATAAAGAATTAGCGAGGCCTGAGCTGCATTAGAGATGATGAAGAGTGCTGTCCCTGTTTTACGACAGCATGTCATGTTTGACATATTTATATTGCCTTGTTAATGTCAAGTTGTCATTACCGAGACACTGACAGGTTATGATGTATTGGTTTATGTCAAGTTGTCATGAAGACATCTCAAACAATGTCACATTTGCATTCAAAATGTCATAACTGAGCGAACAACACTTCATAAACATGCGTGACCCTCCTTCATATTCATGACCTGTCGTGTCAGTCTTAGGCACAGCCCTTCAGGTCACGTTACCGCTTGTTTAAGCTCTTGCTCTTGGAAGACGCCTCACCGCCCCTTAGGAAAATGATCCATGGTTTTGTGATCGATTTCTGTTTGTGTTATCTTAGTTTTCCGACAAATACGATTAAATGATGGATAACATCTTATGTGTAATCGATCAGAAACAAACAAAAACACACACCACTTTGAAACTGTCTGTGAAATCCATGAGCCAATCACAAGTTAATATTTACATCTGACTAGAGCTCGCCGTTATTGGAGGGGCGGGACAGTTCCTGAACACGAGCCAATCACAACACACTGGCCGTTCCAGAGGAGCTGTAATATATGTGATGATATATTTCGTTTTTTGAACAATCCATCATGAAACCATATTGTAGTACACCCCAAAAACAAAATCAAGACTACATGAAAGGGCATAATACGACCTTTAACTATTATTTAATGAAGTCCTACACTAAATATCTCCTCTGTGCAATACTGTGCTGAAGTGTTTGTCTGCATTTACTGTTGTATGCAGATCATTTTCATGGTCGGTCGGGGATATCTGTCCCCAGACCTCAGTAAGCTGTATAAGAGATGTCCCAAGGCCATGAAGAGACTGGTGGCCGACTGCATCAAGAAGTGCAAGGACGAGCGGCCTCTCTTCCCTCAGGTGTGTGTGTGCTCTCTTTTAGAGATTGGCATGGTTTTACTTCAGTTAGCCTAATAGCTGGTTTGATTTGCATTGAAAGATGATCTTATGGAAAGTACCCCATGCCAATCTCTAGGTGTGGTGGAAGGTGTGTGATGATGATGTGGGGATATTTTAATCCCAAAGGCCAAGGGAACTTTATCGGGATGCATATTATCCGGGATCCATGAAATAACTGGCTTTTAAAAATAAAAATCTGCCTGACTCTATGGGAATTTAACATAGGGGTGTCCTGACTTATGCACCCTGTATTTTAAGGAAAAACATTTATTTATTTATGATGCATTATTCATTCACAAAGAAAATTGGTGTCCTTAAAGGTTGGAGTTTTCCTCATTTTTCTAATTAAGGCATTAAGATCAATATCCAAAAGATGATTTTTTTTATTCCTCTTTTTAGGCAACTTTAGCATGGGGGCCAACACTTATTCACATCACTGTGTATATACAGTATCTCTCCATGAATGAAGAAATCATTGAGCACTTTAATTCTTACCTTTCTTTTAGTTAAAACATGAGCACAGTGGTATCATTTGTTTCCAATATGTAAATACAGATAAATTAAATTTGATTTGATTTATTGGTTTATTTAAAAGGGGACAGTGCAATTTCACAAAACGCATGAACAAACATGGTTAAAAAAGCCAGAATTAGCCAAAAGGCTATTTTTCATCTGTAGTCCCCTGGCCAAGATGTAAAAAAGCATTACAAAACAAACAAGAAAATACATTTATAGGTCTATAGCAAATTGACAAAAAAATAGCTACAATATAAATAACACTAAATGTGGCCACAATTGAACTTAACTCAAATCTCAGAGTAAACCCCTTCAGGTGTGTGTGTGTGTGTGTGTGTGTGTTATCTCAGAATAAACCCCTCAGGCTCATGAAGACCGGATCCTGATCACCCGTCGGGTTTATTCTGAGAGAATAACCGGCTGGATGCACATCATCCCTTACTTACTGCATGCTGAGCCGAGCTTGTGTCACAGCCATAGATATCCATAATAAAGGCTAGATGTCTTACGATGGAGTCTCTATCGTCATCACTGGCGGCCATCTTGTCACAGGCAAGCTGATGTAAGATGAGTGATCATCACGAACACACATACTCTTATCTCGTTGAAATCTTGACGGATTTACAAACGGTTTGGTTAGTTCCAAACGTTATTAACGTAGCTATAATTCTGGATGATTATTTATTTATACACTTATTATTCATAAGTATGCAGTGTCATAACTACACCTCTGATATTTATAACAAACCAAACCGTTTGAAAATCGGTAGAAAATTGAGCAAGTAATGGTTATTTAAAAAGTACATGCACCATTGAAACAGTGTTACGAGTGAGCGAGCTGACTGTGGCAAGATGGCCGCCACCTCAATTGGCCAGCAGCACGGACGAGACATCTAGCCTTTATTATGGATATCTATGGTCACAGCACTGTTCAATGCTGGATTCTGGTTGGTAACTGAAAAATGTAGACGAACAGCTGTGGTAGTTTCAGGAAATTATGGATTCCTGTCATCCGTGTCCACAGATCCTGTCCTCCATTGAGCTCCTGCAACACTCACTACCCAAGATCAACCGCAGCACGTCTGAACCCTCTCTGCACCGAGCGTCCCACGGCGAGGACATCAGGACAGTGGCTTGAAGACTTCAGATGCTCTCACAATCAAGGCTGTTTTCTGGGACAGATGCAGGGACTTTTAGAAAATAAGAAATTTGCTACAATCCCTAATTTTTATGTGTCTGAAAAGATGTTGCCCTAATGCTCAAAGAGTGAAGATGTTTATATACGGTATTATGTACACACAAAGAGCTTCATAATTTAGTCAGTATTGAGTTGCCATTGAGTGGTGTTCAAGGCGCGACTTGAGATCAGTTTTGTGATGTCAAGTATTTTGAAGGTGTTCTTGATATGTATAGAGTACATACTGTTAATCAATTGTTTTAATAAAATTAAGTTAAATGCCCTTTTCTATCACTGTATGTCGTCTTATGCTGAGTTAATGTTTTTTTTAACCATTACAGGCTTCATCCAGTTATGCTCTTTTAGGTAAGTTGTTAAGTTGTTTTTTTAGCTGCTTTGAAGAAGCACAACAGATATTGAAATATATCCCACAATTCTCATTGGTTCTGGTGGTTCTCAGGGCAGCGGTTCTCGGAGAGATCAGGACAGGGCACAACATGTTTCCAAGAAAAGGACAGAGCATCATGCGAGTACTCTGTATCTTATTGCTTTCCAAGTAGAAAGACATTTCCAAGACAGCCTTTCTCAGGCTATTTTAGAGACAGTCCACAGTGTCCTCCCTCACTTAGTTTTTTATCCAGCCGCAAACACTGTTTCTGCTGATACATGGGGGCCCGAGGGTCCAGCAGGCCTTGATCCAGCCAGAAATGGCCTCATGCATGGGCCAAGGACAATCTTAGGAGTTAAAGGGATAGTTCACTTTGAAATTAATGTTTGATATGTTTTATCTCACCTCAAGGGCATCCAAGATGTAGGTGTCTTTGTTTCTACAGTATTTTCAATTTTGACATTTTTCAGTCAAACCGTTGTTGTCTATCAGTCATACACTGGAGGCTAAGGGGGTCCACCAAAGAGCAGCACAGAGAAGTCCAAATTAAACATGATTTAATGACTCGTAAATGGCGTAAGACACGAAACGAGCGGTTTGTGTGAGAAAACGAACAGTATTTATATGGTTTTTACCTCGTGTAATCCAAGTGATCTGAATCAGTTGCTCAATGTCCAACTGAACCGAACTGAATCAGTTCAATGTTACGCCGGAAGTGATCGCTTGCGTGTGACGTCACTCAATATTTACGCGGAGATTTCGGAAGTTTTACCTTTTACTAAACATATTTAGATATCCCGAAATCGGCTTTCAGTCATTCTAAACATGTTTAGGGAAAGGTAAAACTTCCCAAATCTCTGTATAAACAAAGAGTGACGTCGATCACTTCCAGACCGAAGCGCCCGTGCCGTCAGATCATTTTGTCATGGCTGTGATTACAAGAGGTAAAACGATATAAATACTGTTTGTTTTCTCTCACAAACCGCTCGTTTCGTGTCTTAGGCCATCAGTGTGTACTTACATTTACGAGTCATTAAATCATGTTTAATTTGGACTTCTCTGTGCTGCTCTTTGGTGGACCCCCTTAGCCTCCAGTGTATGACTGATAGACAAAAACGGTTTGACTGAAAAATGTCAAAATTGAAAATACTGGAAACAAAGACACCTACATCTTGGATGCCCTTGAGGTAAGATAAAACATATCAAAAATTAATTTCAAAGTGAACTATCCCTTTAAAAACCAGGACTCCAACCAACAACAACTCCAATCACCCACTCTTCCGACTTCCTCACTTCTCCTGGGTGCTCATTGTGGCCTCAAGGACCCCAGGCCTTGACCAAACTATCCATGTGCTCATGAAGAAAGATAACTTCCCCTTGCCACTGCCGGAACCCTCAACAACTCCACAACTCAAGAATTGTTCCCACTACAAATGCAAGAACTCAGTTGCAAAGTCTGACATTGGCTATCTTCAGTCTGGCGGTACGGTGTCTGGGACAGACGCTGACCCGCTGCTCCAGGGAGTTACATGTGCAGATGATGGCATTTAGAAACCAAACACCTGACCCTCAAAGACAAACCCTTAGATTCTTTCAAATTAAAGTTATCTTGCCTAACACAACAGAAACGCAACATCAGCAAACACACATCACGCCTAACAGGTGTCTGGGTGTCAGGTCTCCTTCCACGTCTCGCTACGAGTTGCCAAATTAGGAGAAACTCACACAATTGCTGAGGTGCTGATCTCACCTGCTATGTTTGGAGAGAGTGTCTCAGCACCTCTTTCTAACGACACCGTTAGCCACCGCATATCTGACATGGCAAGCGACGTTAGGGAGTGACTGCTAGCTAACATCATGCAAAGCCAGTACTGTGCCCTGAAGCTTGATGAGACGACTGGCACAGCTGCTAACGTCAGATACATCAAAACTGTATCTGACGTACTGTAAGCCAGGTTCGCTGGCTCTCCAGAGGTCGCATGAATTGCATTCAGAGGTGGACGTTTCTTGTCGATGTTTTGGCAGTACCTGGTCGGCCCCCTGTGGTTAGATCAGTTTCACATCTTTTCCGCTGGTTGAATTTGTTGAAGACATTGATGCAAGGGAGAGATGCCAAATCTAGCTTCTTTCAGAGAAAGTCAGTGCATTCGTTTGGATCTTTGGCTCGATCAGCTGATTAATAAAAATGTTGACATGTTTCCCAACTTAGCAACTGATGAACAGAAGCTCGGCATGTTAAAGGACTGAAACAACAATTCGGCCGTTATTTCATGTCATTTGCCGATCACGGATCCCTTCGGTTGCCAGGAAAAGACCTTTCCGTTGACATGGAGGAACCGGCTCCAGGTGGAGGATGACATCAGGCTTGCGCTGTCCAACAATGAACCGTGAATTTTGCTTCTTTGTCCCTCTGATTGATTATGTCATGGCTAACGAGACAGGCGCTTTGTCCCAATTTTCACAATTTGTATGTGACAAATGCAAGAAGAATCTAATGCATCATGTTTTACATGAAAAATAGTATATTATTACAACCTAGTTCTCTTGTTCGGTGTTGTTTAGAAACCTGTCCGTTATATAGTTTAATGAAAGTAACAAAGGTTATGAAAAGTAAAGAGCTAGCTAAGCGCTTCAGTTTACCAGTGTTCATTCACATGAAACTTCTGATCAAGTGGAACAATCCATGCGTTTTGAATTTGATTGGGAAAATTTTCGCCATTTTCGCCACTTTAACCTTTTCATCTGGCATTGATAGAATTTTCTGGATGATACCATGGATGTCAGAAAATGTGTGATGTATCCCAATCTTCAATCAGGAGGAGCTGGATGTGAGTTATATCAATCCACAGTCTGATTTCTGACCTGTGTTACTGCCTGAATCATAATCATACACGGTTGGTTCATTGGCCAGAGGAGAAGTGTTCCCCGACTGAGCCTGGGTTCTCCCAAGGGTTTTCTCTATTCTGTCTCCTGATGGAGTGTGTGTTCTTGCCACTGTCGCTCTGGTTTGCTTAGTTGAGGACACTTCATATTCAACAGTATTACTGATCTGACGGCACTGACACCATTATATAAGAACTGAGCTGAGCTGTTTTCTGTATAGCGGAAATAAACTCATTCCAGTTTGATGAACTTATTGAACTGAACCGAATCAACACTGAAGTGACTTCATCTGAATAACGACTGTTCAGTAAAGAAGATGACGATGATGAGCAAGAACAGAGTCACACCGTGACGACGATATGTTCCATATAACTATGTAGAGTACACTTATTACTATGATAAAAAACATTTTACTTGCAACAAGGATATTTTAAAATGAAGCGTTTTTGTAAATTAATCAAAACGTGATAATTTTGTTCCTTTATAGATTTTTGTTTAGTGTTTTCATTGATAAATCAGGGGTTAAGATCACAATTTAGATCACAACAACGATTTTGGTGACAGGGTTTGTGTATCTCGTTAAAAAAAAGAGTGATCAGTGGTTGTTCAGAGTTATATTTTTATTGCTTATTATGTATTTAATTTGCTATTCTGCATTAATATTGTTAACAAGAAACAAATTGTTCACATTTTTGCAACCCAAAAATGACAGATGTCCAGTAATACAGCTTTCATTCAATGTAGGAAATATATTTCACCATATTTTATTACACATTTACAATACTAGAGTGCAAGAATGATATCTATTATTTCAACAGTGATCACAAAAGAAAAACACACACCTCACCGTTCAACACACAATGACACAATTTCGATCATGCAATTAAAGTATTCATTTACGTTTTATAGTCTCCTTTCTTTCGTGTACACACACACACGCACACACACTTTGTCCACAATTTACTGAAACATAGACATAAGACAAGAAAAAATATATAAAGTACAATTGAAAGAGCACTAGGCACAATCTGCAGTATCACCACACACAACAACCCTGAAGAGAAGACCGCTTCACACAGAAACAAAAGCAACCGTCACAAGCGCACAACAGTGAGCGTTACACAGTACACACTGAAAGACAGATCAGGCCCAAACTAACACTTCTTACCCGCACCTCAGGCCACTGTTTGAATGTTCGAACACACCCTGTCAGCAGTTCTGATGGTTGTGTTAGTTTGCCTGCACTAGCTTTGGTCCCACAGCAACACCATTACAGTCGAGGATATACTGCAAACAGCCTTGAGGAGGAGCTTTCTGCGGCGGCACGTTCTTCACTTCAACCAGCGCATCCTTTTCAACAGTGACCTGAAACACACACACACAAGTCTGCTCATACATGTGATGTGCACAACAGGGCATCCCAGCTTCTTGACACACTTCCCAGACAGCAAACTGACATTGAATCAACGTGGAAACGACGTCTCCCATGACATTGAAACAACGTTGATTTTGCTCATCGAATTAACGTTGAATCAACGTCAGACGCGGCATTCTTCAAAGCTAAATGAAAATCGAAAATTGGTTTGCTTTCAAAACGTTGAAACAACGCGTTGATTTCAAGTTGATTTTCCGTTAGTTTTGAAAGAATGACGCGTCTGACGTTGGTTCAACGTTAATTCGATGAGCAAAACAATGTCAGATCAACGTTGTTTCGATGTCATATTTCCACGTTGATTCAATGTCAGTTTGAAAACATTCAACTTGCAAAATCTTCTTCTAACAAATGTGAGGAAGCTTAAACATAGATTTTGTTTTTAGTTGGATGTTAACATACAGTTCATAGTTCAAATTTCTTCTTCGCTAATATTTGTTGATCATTAATTAATTCGATTTTGAGATTTGTAAGGTACATTTGAGGTAAATGTGCCTCTCATTGCACCTTTTAGATTTCATATTTGCCTAATATACACTCACCTAAAGGATTATTAGGAACACACACTAATACTGTGTTTGACCCCCTTTCACCTT